CGGGGAACCCGCCAGCAGGACCTCGAACTGCCAAAGTGGGACATCGACCAATCAGCATGGAGCGGGACAAGGCGCTGGATGTGGATGTAGCCACGGCCAATCAAGATGAAGCACATGCGAGGAGAACCCGAGCAGGAACCAATCGGAATAGAGCGCGGGCCGATGCGGCCGAGGCCGTACCAATCAGCACGCGGAGGGCAGTCCGACCGCCCGTCCCGGCGCCACTCGGCGCTCCGCGGCCACCTTCCCCTCTCCCTCCCGGCGGTGGGCGGGCAGGACAGGGAAGCTGGAGGGCCAGGGCCGAGCCGGACACCACGCCGGGGACCTGGAAGCCGTCCGTCCAACCGCTCAGCTGCCCCAGGAGGTGCGGCTCACCCCGGTGACCTGACTATCAGCTCCGCTGCGGCGGGATGGGTGGATGGGTGGACGCTAACCCGCGGCCGCTTTCCGGTGTGTCCGGGCGCAGATAACAGCACGGCCGCCCGGGTACCCGGCTCCTCGGCCGCCGCCGCCGGCCCGGCCCAGCCTGGTCAGAACCCAGGCCCGGCGGGGTCCGAACCCTGGGCTGACACTCTGAGCTGCATGGCCCTGGACCCTGGCCGAGCTGTGGTTCCCTCCACAGTGAAGCAGGTGGGCTGGCCTTCTGGGCGAACCCACCACCCCAACTCCGTAAATCCCCTGAGGATCCCCCTCCTCCAGTCTGTCTCAGGGGTTGGGGCTCCTCCCCCAGTCCAGGCAGAGCACGTGGTGGGGTTGTAGCCAATGGGCACGTCGCCTTCCCTGTAGGTGACTGGCTCAGGCATGGAGGTGTCAGTGTGACTGCCTCACAGCCAATCAGATGCCCAGGGACTTGGGCTGCCCTGTCTCCCCACTGGGTGTTGCCTGAGGTGGGCCTGACAATTGGGCGCCTGGAGAGGAGAACCCACCTGAGCCTGGGTCTGCTTGGAGGAGGCAGACCTGGGGAAGAACAGAGACTGTCCGGATGAGTGACCAGAGCCCTGGATCCACCCAGACCTGCAGCTAATGGATGGCTGGGTGGGATCCCTGGATGGATGGGTGGATGGATGGGTGGATGGGTGGATGGGTGGATGGATGGGTGGATGGATGGGTGGATGGGTGGATGGGTGGATGGATGGGATCCCTGGATGGGTGGATGGGTGGATGGGTGGATGTTTGGGATCCCTGGATGGATGGATGGGTGGACAGGTGGATGGGTGGGTGGATGGGTGGATGGACGGGTGGATGGATGGATGGGATCCCTGGATGGATGGATGGATGGATGTGTAGATTAATGGGTGGCTGGATGGATCAATGGATGGATGAAAGAATGCAAATTTATGGAGCTCATATTCTCTCCAGTGCTGTTTCCACGTCCCTTCTACAGTCGGTAGCTCCTGTCACCTGCTCAAAGTCATGTCTGTTGCCCCCCTGTACACACACACGCGCGCACACGCACGTGCACACACCCCTCCAAGAGGATTCCGTGCTTGCAATATTGGGGCTTCTTGGAGGAGGAATTTGGGGGTCAGTGGGGACACAGCCCCACATTGGGGATGTGAGGTGAGTACTCCCTCCACAGGCAACGGCTGGGGTCTCAGCCTCGCTCTGTTAGACCGGAGAGTGTTGGCAGCTAAATACACTTTTCCCGAAGCCTGTAAGCGAGTGATAGCAATGAGTGCAGGTCCACAGCCCAGTGGGAACGAGGCCAGGAATAAATTAGTTTCCAGACCCAAGTGAGCTCTGCTCATTTGCATGTGATTTGCATGCCATTCCCGGTGCTCCTTCCCTCCCCCCAACCACTGCCCTTCTCAAGGCAGGGAGGCTTGGCCTGGTCAGACGTGGGGGGGGGGGCACAAGTGTCACCATGAGCACAAATGGGTCCCTGGTGAGTGTGGCTTTAAGAGGGGCCGGGGCACTCCACTAAGCCTGCCTCATGGCCCCCCTAGCGGGCTGGAGTGGCAGGTTCCTGGGCCTTGGCCATGAGGGCCGTGGCTCAGGGCCAGGCTCAGCACCTAAAGCCGGGCAGGGTGAGTACAACGAGCGGTTGGCAGGGCTCGGGGTGTCTGGAAGGGCAGGAAACACCCAGGCCTCAGAGCTCCTGCTCACACCAAGGCGGAGAACCCCCAACCTGATTCAGGGGTAGGTGGGAGGTGCGTGGAAGGCGTGGAGGCCTAGCCGGGTCAGGCTGTAACTTGGGCGTGGTGCGGTCAAAGGCAGTGCTTTACTTCAGGGACGAGTTTGGAGGACGGCGTGTGTTTGTGCGCCTCCTAGTGGTCAACAGGGCCTCCATGTTGGCGTCCCTGATTCCTGGGACCATCTGCGACCCCGCTGCAGGGTGGGCGCGGCCTGAGATCAGGTGTCATGTAAACCCGGCAGCTCCCTGCTCAGGACCAGAGGGCGCGACTAGGCCGACTAGGCCGGGCAGGGCTTCCTCCCTCACACCAGGGGCCTGCTTGTCTCGGGGCAGAGAGGAAGCAGGGTGGGTGGGAGCAGCACAGCGCCCCGGCCCTGCTCTCCGCGATGTGGGTGGAGCCGAGCCCCTGCCCCTCCTGGGGGACACAGCTGGCGTGCTTTCTTCCTTTTTTTTTTTTTAAATAATATTTTAAGAATTATTTATTTAATTTTACTTATTATTACAGTTTAACTTTTAGTTCTGCCATGGGGCACACACACTTACCAGAGAGAGACAGAGAGAGAAAGCCAGCAGGTCTGGGGCCTGAACTGTGGTCAGCACCCTAACCACCATACCACCTACTGAATTGACCTACAGTTTTCTTTCCAGACACTCGAGCCCACACACGGGATGTGGACCCCCTTCCGCTGCTGGGCGGCCGCTCCATTCAGGGCTCTCCGGGCTGGGTAGCCATGGGGGCAGGTGGGGCCTTCCCTGAAGGAGTCAGACAACACAGTCTGCACCGTGCTGGCCCGGTCTGCGCTCCCGGAGACCACAGCTGGGGCCCCTAACAGCAAAGGAGGGGTCGATTCAGAGCCAAGAAACCTCAGGGCAGGACTGCAGTGGAGAGGATGGGGAGGGAGCTGGTTAGAACTGCCCTGCCCGGGAAGGGGTGAGGGGAGTGACCTGGACTGGCCAGGAGGCCCTGCTGTTTGTGCTGGGGACCCTCCCTGCCCTGGCGGGGCTGCCCTGTTGTTCCCTTCTCCCCTCCTCCCTTACGTGTCTGACCTTGCACAGAGCAAATGGGCCAGGCCTGGACATGCGGGCAAGTCTGTGAGATGCCAGCAGGGGCGGGGTCTGTCTGTGAGATGCCAGCAGGGGCGGGGCCGGTCCGCAGGAGATCTGTCAGACCCCCTTGACCTCAGCAGAGAGGCCCCACTGCTGTCTGTTCTTACGGGAAAAGAAGGAAACGGAGCTTCAACGTCGCGCCATCCCCCAAGTAAGGACACAGAGGGCAATGACACGCTGGGCAGAGAGGGGACCTGTCACCAAGACAGAGAACGACGAGGCGGAACTGCCGATGGTGGCTACGGTGCAGGCGGACCTTGCCTCAGGACGGGGGTGCCGCAGTAGCACAGCTCGCAGACAAGGGTCGCACTTGGAGCACCAGGCACCCCACGGGGTGTGCAAGGCAGGTCACTGTGGCAGGAATCCGGGCCGGACAGGGTGTGAACGAGCAGGTGGGGGCGAGGGTACCCGCAGCCGCTGGTGGGAGAACGCTCCCTCCCGCAGTAGGAAGGGAGGGGATGAGTCCAAAGCAGATACCACTCTCACCGCCCTCAGTGTCAAGTGTTAGTAACTGTGCATGGGACCAGGGAGGGTCTGGGCCCCTGGAACAGAACAGGAGGGCACGGCCCGCGTCCCCCATCCCACTCCTCGGACCTGCCAGGTGTCTCCCAGGGCAGGCAGCGAGCGCTCGAAAACCCACCCCGCTGGCCAGGAACACTGTCAACCTGAAGGGCAAAGCAAAACGCAAGTGTCTCCGGGTGGAAATTGGTGAAACGGAGCACAGTGTGTCACCTCACAGGATCTCGGGAAGCCACACGCCCGGACTGGGCTTTCGTTCTACAAACCACGCACGTCGGGGCCGGTCCTCGCGGCGGGGAAGCGTGTGCGCAGAAGCCAGAGCCAGCGGGACAGTGCATGTCCGCGCACGGACGCCTGGCGTGCAGCCCAGAA